CCTGAAGCCCTTTATTTGTTTAAGGAAAAGAAGTAAAAGAAAAAAAAGTCCGTGGTTTTGTAGAAGCGGACGATTCATTCTGTCTTTGAAATCTTCTCCGCTAACGTGGTTCCATCCATTTTCATGTCGGAATGATGAAGTTAAACGAAATAGGTAGGGGGAAGGGAATTAAAAAGAAAAAAACGTAGGACCATCGCTCCAGTCATGCAGAAATGGCGGATTTAAAAGAATTGCTTACTCACCTCCCACGAGGCTGGCCTCCAAGTCGTAGCACCTGGGTGACAACCGTCAGTCCTCGGTCTGCGAAAATTCGTGCGAGACGGCGGTGGGGCATGATGAGGGTGGATGAAGAAAACCATATTGAAATGTGTTGATGAATGCATTGATGTATAAAAGTCAGACAAATATATATTCATACACATATGCATTACCACAATTTTATATATATATATATATATATATATATATATATATATATATATATATATATATATATATATATATATATATATATATTACTGTATTCGAAACATTTTAATTACATATATCTCTATCTATAAAAGGCAGGATGTGTGTTTGTCTGTGTGTGACGAATGCACGGCCGCAATTTTCGACAGATTTGCACCAAAAATTTGCATGCACATGCTCCAAGTTAGTGGAAAGGCCAAGACCGACTTTGCATTTCACAACTCCTATCGATAGGGGAAATAATTGATTTTTTCATGCTTCTACGGCAGTTGTCATGTAGTTTGCGGGCATTTTGTATTGGCCAGAGTGAGAGCCAATAGCTGGATGCCACGAATAGGCAAGAAGATTCTATTAGCCAGCGAGAGAACCAACAGCTGACTGACACGAATGTTAACTAGCATGATAGCATGCAAAAAAAAATCGATAGCTGCATTCGTCACAAGTGGGAAAAATTTAAATCTGCATGGCACTTTACTCCAGTTGGCTCATTCGCTTGCTTAAACTCAACGTTGATTCTGATTCCACAGAACTGAGTTGGGTGTGAAAAAGTATTTGTTGTTAACATTCTTTTTTCATTCGGTTTTTCCAGTTACGAGTCCTTTTTAAAGCTGATCGTTTTGTATTCATTTTGTTTTGTTCTTTTTTCGTAACAGATTTAATGTTTAATATAGAGCTTAGAAAAAATTTGCAGTGTGAGAGGCAAGAAGTAAGGCATATAGCAACATTTGTACGGCAAATGGCACTCCTTTAAAGGCAAGGACGGGCAAAGATATTTTAAGTCAAATGATAGCGATTGCTGTATGAGTCATACGATTTTTTAATCAAGCACGGGCAACGCCGGGCCATGCTGCTAGTTGATATATACGTATGCATACATTTGTAAATAATATAAACTGGGTGTGTTTGGTCAAGATTTTCATTAATATAAGTTTAGTTAAATATCAAGGAATTTTCTTTGATGTGGTTTCGATTATTTTTATTTCTGTAATTCGAAACATTTTCCTGATTTCCGCTTTATATTTAAATATAAATTGTCTACTTTCGGACTACTTCAGGAAAATATTCCGAAATATAGAAAAAAATAATATAAGAATCCTTACGAAAGAACTTATAAAATGTATCGACAAGGCCTGTCTGTCTAATTTTTATTGTTGTTGTTTTTTCTCAAATTTTGGATAAGATGTTGAGTATTCTGGTCGAAGTTGTGAATAAACCGATCCGTCAAAACCCATTACATGCGATTCTTGATAATCCCCTGAATGTTCGAGAAATTTCGCAGAAAATCTGCATTCTCCGAAACTGTATCCCAGAAGGAAACCGTTATATAGCCTGACGTGCAGTTAATCATTCAGAACTTTCCAGTTAACCGAGTCCAAATTACTGCTTATAAACACGTAACTTCGTCGACCAAATGACAGTTTCTATATGGCATACAGGTTCGATTCCTGTCGGAGGACATGTATTTTCTGCAACATTTCTCGAACATTTAGGCCAGCAAATGCAATTAATAGTGTTTAATTAAAACGGAAAAAAGTACAGTGGAGTAATGGATAGCGACGTGGATTCCTTTCGAATCCATTACTTTTACTTACATGCTAATACCCTTGAGAAAAGCATGAATCCTCTTGTTCTCTCCCCAACTATGGATAAATAGCAGGACAAACCGGGTTATATAACCTTGGATGGCAACTGGTCTACCGCAGAAAGAATCTCCTCAATTAGATATTCAAATGTAAACAAAGCAATTTCTAAAAAAAGTTTGTATCCGAAATTAAGCAGATAGGGAGAACATGTATACTTGACAGTGAAATTCTTCGTAACCGAGCAGTTAAAGTACGTCGGTTCAAATGGCGGTTACTCCTGCAAGGGAAGATTCAGGTTCGAATACTGTCGGTGGGTGCCTTTGCTTAGTAAATTTTCTGGAGGTTTTCAGGCCTGTAGACGAAATAAAATATTGTTTAAAATAATGAGGAATGTCTAAGAGTATCTAACACAAATAACGTTTGATGTAATCCAAATATATATACATATATCTATCTGTCTTATATATATATATATATATATATATATATATATATATATATATATATATATATATATATATATATATATATAAAAGATAATAGGAAAACTGTAATAGCTGCCGACGCGTTTCGTCCAATGTGGACTTCCTCAAGGCAAAAAACGAAATGAATTTATTAAACAAAGTAACTAATAATAACAAAACAAAATATCCTTAGCAACTGGAAGAATTTAGAGAACGCTATTTTCATACTGTTAACTGAAAATTACGTAAATTACTGTCACGTGTGGTGATATTGTTATTATTGCTGTGTTGACGGATTCAAACATTTTCATGTGATTTCTTGATACTGTTCTGTACGTGTGTTCTTGTTGCCTTTTACATTTATAAGTATTGTCTTTTTCTACAGGTTAACTCTGAGAAATCTGTCATAAATATGGCGCCAAAGATGGGACAATAGTCCGAATAATGTAAATAATGTACCTAATACCTCATCTGAGAAATATAGGCAGATTCCATTTACCGTAGAGAACACATGAAACATGGAAAGTTTGATTATGAAATGTTAAAGGCATCAGAGTTTTCATTTATTTATTAACAATCATTCAGCTGTGTAACTAACCAAGTTTAATGTTATTTCATGTCATCTATCCGATGAGTATTTATTTGCGAATATCAAAATTAGCCTTTTCCTCATTAGTACTAAGCATTGTTTAATTTGTGACAATGTCACATTCCTCTTAAATTACTTGATGTTTTAAGGAGTCACCCAAATTCAGCATCGAGCAGCTTCGACTCTGCTTACATATAATCTAAAGCAAGGGTCGGAAACCTACGGCACGCGTGCCACAGTTGGCACGACAAGCAATTTCCAATGGCACACAGCCGCAAATGACATCACGAATCCGAACAAATAATTACTACAACGCAAAAGAGGATATTTAGCTGTTTCAATTTTAATATATTCTAAAGTATATATGATATATATTACTATATAAAATATATTGTAGAACAAGTAAATTGATCTTGACTTGTATCAAAATACGTATGGAGTTGAATGATTTTAAAACCCAAAGTCAGCACACAGTAAATGTTTGCTGAACCCATGTCATAGATCACCATCAGAAGATATTGAGCTGATTCAAAACCCGTTTTCTTTTTCGTTTCGTCACCCATAAGAAAATTTTCTTTAATTTTTTTCAGATCACCAATATCCGTAAATAATTTCTTCTGAAAATCGTTTTTTCAGTTTGTGAATCTTATTTAAAATACATATAAGGTCGTTCTCGAAATTTGATAGTTCTTTCAAAATTGGTGGGTATTTATCTATTTTTAACAGACGTATATTACGATTTATAGGTCGGTAACATAAAGGATGCTGAGGATATGAACTGAGCGTGAAGTTCTCTGTAACCGAAAGAACCCATCAATATTTTGCATAGTTCCTTTTAAGCTATCTGTCTATATTTCTGAGATGAGGTATTATGTACACTATTTACATTATTCGGACTATTCTCCTCATGTTTGTCGCCATATTTATTACAACGTCCCGGCCTTTAGTATCTGTCTATATTTCTGAGATGAGGTATTATGTACATTATTTACATTATTCGGACTATTGTCCTCATATTTGTCGCCATATTTATTACAACGTTTCGGCCTTTCAGTATCTATCTATATTTCTGAGATGTGGTATTATGTACACTATTTACATTGTTCGGACTATTGTCCTTATCTTTGTCACCATATTTATTACAACGTTTCGGCCTTTCAGTATCTGTGTATATTTCTGAGATGTGGTATTATGTACACTATTTACTTCTTCCGGCTATACTGGAGCGACAGATCAATTGTAAATAATTTCTATTTATCATCGCTCTTAAAGAAGGTGTGTCCGCAAAGAGGCAATGTTACTATTCGTCGATAGAACGAGACACTATATATCAGGGGGCTCGTCAACCTACGGCACACACGTGGCACGCCAAATAATTTCCAATGGCACACAGCCGCATTTTTAATATATACTAATGTATATAATATTATATATTACTTTATAAAATATATTGTAGAACAGGTAAGATGATCTTGACTTGTGTCAAAATATGGATGCAGTTGAATGATTTTAAAACCCTAAGTCAGCACATAGTCATCAAATGTTTGCTGACCCCATGTCATAGATCATCAGAAGATATTGAGCTGTTTCAAAACCCGTTGGACTCACATTAATAATAAAAACTTAAAAAATCTTTAAAATTGTTTATTGCTATTAATGGGACTTAATATTTTTGTATATATTACTATATAAAATATATTGTAGAACAGGTATATTGACCTTGTATATATTACTATATAAAATATATTGTAGAACAGGTATATTGACCTTGACTTGTATAAAAATACGTATGCTGGTGGCACACTGAATGATTTTAAAACCCTAACACATATTTAGCAAAAGGTTGCCGACGGCTGATTTAAAGATTGTGTAGTTAAATTTTCTATTTCGTCCGTTATGGCATCTCCATTGAAAAAAAGAAAAAGAAAAAGAACAACTCTTTTTTTTCTTCTTTCACTTTCTTTCCTTCTTTTTCTTCTTTCTCTTTTCTTTTTCCTTTTTTTTTTCAAAATCGTTCTTTGCGTACATTTTAATAACTTTCATTTTTCAGTTTCTATTTTCTCCTTTCATTCATTACTTTTTTCTTTTTTTTTCGATTTTCTTATTTTTCTCTTTCACTATTTTGAATTTCTTCTTTGTATTCATTCTTTCTTCCGAACAATATTTTCTTTTTCTTTCATTTCTTCCAATTTTGGCATAGTGCTTTCGCTCATTTTTTGTTTTCCTTTTTGTTTATTCCTATATTAAATTTTCATTTCAGTTTCTAAAACATTGTCTTTCCCCTTCCTTTTTCTACAAAATTTCTGTTTCTTTCTTTTTTTTCTTTTTTTCTTCGATTTCATTCTTTCTGAAGGTTTTTCTTTTACTTTTTCGTTCTTTATTTCTTCTTTTCCTTCTTTCATTTTTCATTTGTTTAATTTTGCATTTTCATCTTGCTACTACTTTCTTTCTCCTTCATTCCCTTTTTCCTTATAATTCATTTACTTTTATCGACTTTCTTTTTATTTTTTTATTTCTTTCTTTTCTTTTATTAGTCTGTATTTTTTAAATATTTTCCTTTCTTTTTCTTTCATATTTCATCATTTCTTTCTTTTTCAATTAATTCTTTTTTTCTTTCTTTGACATTTTCTTTTTCGCTCTGATTTCCTTTTATAGATTTTCCTTATTTCAATTATATCTTCATCTGTTGTCATATTATTTTCATCCGACTTACGGACATATCATGTTGACAACACTAAGCTTAAGTCGACCCTGGTCAGTACCTAAATGGGTAACCGGTTAAGACTGCCAGATACTGTAATTTTGGATGTTTGGGTGGTAAAACGGCTCGGAATTGGAATTCACTTAAACGCAAATACCCTTGGGAAAGGTATGAAGCCATCTCGTCCAGTCCAGGTAGAGAAAAGGTGGGTTCATGTATGGGTTAAGTAGTAGGACTTGGATGATAATTAATTTGAAAAGGGTTGATAAGACGTAAACAATCAGTCATAATTTCTTCTTTTAAATATCTTTTTTTTCATTCTGTTTTGTTACTTTCATTTTCCTTTTCTTTATTTCAAATTTTTTTGTTTTCGTTTTACTTACTTTACTGTCTTTCATTTCCGTTTTCTTTATCTCTTTTTACTTTCTTCATCTCTTTTTCATTTCTTTATCTCTTTTTCCTTTCTTTATCTCTTTTCCTTTCTTTATCTCTTTTCCATTTCTGTATTTATTTTTCCTTTCTTCATCTCTTTTTCCTTTCTTTATCTCTTTTTCCTTTCTTTATCTCTTTTTTCCTTTCTTTATCCTTTTCCTTTCTTTATCTCTTTTTCCTTTCTTTATATCTTTTTCCTTTCTTTATCTCTTTTTCGTTTCTTTATCTCTTTTTCCTTTCTTTATCTCTTTTTCCTTTCTTTATCTCTTTTCCATTTCTGTATTTCTTTTTCCTTTCTTCATCTCTTTTTCCTTTCTTTATCTCTTTTCCTTTCTTTATCTCTTTTTCCTTTCTTTATCTCTTTTTCCTTTCTTTATCTCTTTTTCCTTTCTTTATCTCTTTTCCTTTCTTTTATCTTTCTTTTTTATCTCTTTTCCTTTCTTTTTATCTCTTTTCCTTTTTTATCTTTTCCTTTTTTATCTCTTTTTTTATTTCTTTTTTTTTTTTTATCTTTTTTCTTTTTTTTTATCTCCTTTTCTTTCTTTTTATCTCTTTTCCATTTCTGTATTTCTTTTTTTTTCTTTTTTCTTTTTCCTTTCTTTATCTCTTTTCCTTTCTTTTATCTTTTTCCTTTCTTTTCTCTTTTTCCTTTTTTATCTCTTTTCTTTTCTTTTCTCTTTTCCTTTCTTTATCTTCATTTTTTCTTTTTCTCTTTTCCTTTCTTTATCTCCTTTTTCCTTTTCCTTTTTTATCTCTTTTCTTTCTTTATCTCTTTTTCCTTTCTTTATCTCTTTTTCCTTTCTTTTTCCTTTCCTTTCTTTTATCTCTTTTCCTTTCTTTATCTCTTTTTTTTCCTTTCTTTTACTTTTTCTTTCTTTTCCTTTCTTTCTTTATCTTTTTCCTTTCTTTATCTCTTTTCCTTTCTTTATCTCTTTTCCTTTCTTTATCTCTTTTTCCTTTCTTTATCTCTTTTCCTTTCTTTATCTCTTTTTCCTTTCTTTATCTCTTTTTTTCCTTTCTTTCTCCTTTTCCTTTCTTTATCTCTTTTCCATTTTCTTTATTATCTTTTCTTTTCTTTATCTCTTTTCCTTTTCTTTATCTCTTTTTTCCTTTTTCTTTTTCTCTCTTTTCCTTTCTTTATCTCTTTTTTCATTTCTTTATTTCTTTTTCCTTTCTTTCATTTTTTTTTCCTTTCTTTTATCTCTTTTTCCATTTCTTTATCTCTTTTTCCTTTCTTTATCTCTTTTCCTTTCTTTATCTCTTTTCCTTTCTTTATCTCTTTTCCTTTCTTTATCTCTTTTCCTTTCTTTATTTCTTTTTCCTTTCTTTATCTCTTTTTCCTTTCTTTATCTCTTTTTCCTTTCTTTATCTCTTTTCCTTTCTTTATCTCTTTTTCCTTTCTTTATCTCTTTTCCTTTCTTTTATCCTTTTCCTTTCTTTATCTCTTTTCCTTTCTTTATCTCTTTTTTCTTTCCTTTATCTCTTTTCCTTTCTTTATCTCTTTTCCTTTCTTTATCTCTTTTCCTTCTTTTCTCTTTTTCATTTCTTTATCTCTTTTTCTTTTCCTTTCTTTATCTCTTTTCCTTTCTTTTTCTTTTTTTCTTTTCCTTCCTTTCTTTATCTCTTTTCCTTTCTTTATCTCTTTTTCCTTTCTTTTCTCTTTTTCTTTCTTTATCCTTTTCATTTCTTTATCTCTTTTTTTCCTTTTCCTTTTCTTTATCTCTTTTCCTTTCTTTTCCTTTTTTCTTTCTTTATCTTTTTTCCTTTTCTTTATTCTTTTTTTCTTTCTCTTTTTTCTTTTTCCTTTTTTCTTTATCTCTTTTCCTTTCTTTTCTCTTTTCCTTTCTTTTTCTTTTTTTTTTTTCTTTTCTTTTCCTTTCTTTTTTCCTTTTCCTTTCTTTATCTCTTTTTCCTTTTTATATCTTTTTTCCTTTTTTTCTCTTTTCCTTTCTTTTTATCTCTTTTTTTTTTCTTTTATCTCATTTTCCTTTTCTTTATCTCTTTTCTTTCTTTTCCTTTTTTTTTTTTTTTCTCTCTTTTCCTTCCTTTATCTCTTTTCCTTTCTTTATCTCTTTTTCATTTCTTTATCTCTTTTCCTTTCTTTATCCTTTTCCTTTCTTTATCTCTTTTCCTTTCTTTATCTCTTTTCCTTTCTTTATCTCTTTTCCTTTCTTATCGATTGCGTTTTCATTGTTTCGTTCTCTTTCTGTTTTCATTTATTCTCTCACTTATCTGTGTTACTTCTATTTTTACTAATTATTCTTTCTTTTTTTCTCTTGCTTTCTTTTTCACTTTCTTCTTTTTAACCTTTCTTTCTTTGTTCTCTTTTTCTTTTTTACACTCGCACTTATCTTTCGTTGTTACTTCGATTTCTACAAATTATTCTTCTTTTTCCCTTTCTTTTTTACTATTTCACTTTCTTTATTCCATTTCTTTATTCCATTCACTTTCTTTTTCCTCTTTTTCTTTTCTTTTAATCTCTCACTCATCTTTTTGTGCTACTTCGATTTCTACAAATTATTCTCCTTTTTCACTTTCTTTCCTAATTTTTTCACCTACTTTCTTTTTTTCCCTTTCTTTCTTTTTCGCTTTCTTTCTTTCTTTTTCACTTTCTTTCTTTTTCGTCTTTCTCTTTTCTTTTAACCTCTCACTTAACTTTCTTTGTTACTTCGATTTCTACCAATTATTCTTTCTTTTTTACTTTCTCTTTCTTTCTTTCTTTCTTTCTTTCTTTCTTCTTCATTTTCTTTCTATTTTTCACTTTCTTTCTATCTTTCTTATCCGTTACTTCACCTTTCTTCTATTTATTCACTCTTTCTTTTATGCTTCATTTGATTCTTCATTTTTCTTTATCCCTTGCTAAATCTTCTCCTCCTTTTTTATTATGCTAGTCATTTTTTTTTTTACCTATGTTTGGTTAGAATAATCGTAACCCTTCTCTAACCCTAACTCCGACAAATACCATAACCACCCTAACCTCACCCCGTTGACACCCGCTTCTTTCAAACAAGATGAGTGATCTCATTCGCTTTAACACAAGTTTTGATGAATTTGATACCATTTAAGTTAGAAATGACGCACACCCGCTCGCCTACCCCGATCAGCGCGTGGGTGGGCCCTCGTCTTTCTCTTCAAATCAATTTCTCTTTAGGCCAACCAAACTTTTACTCTCTCTTTCTCTTTCTCTCTCTCTCTCTCTCTCACTCTCTTTCTCTCTCTCTCAACCTCTCTCTGTATTATGTTTTACTTCTTCTTTTTTTTTCCTTTGTTTCTTGATGGTCATTCATTTCTTTCTGTTTTCGGTCAATTTCATAATTTGTCTGCCATTTATCCTTTTTTAATATGTCATTAACCGATCCTTTTATTTATAATCCATCATCAGGCATTTATATCTGCGTATATTGATATAAAAAGGGCCTCCCGTAGTGCGGTGGTTAACAAACATGTCTCTTGAGAAAAAAAAACTGTCAAGTGTGTTTTTTTAAAAAATGCTATGTCTCTTCATGACGTACATATTGTACATATTCCATTTCAATACAGTGAAGAAAGTTTATAAAGAAATATTTTTATACTGGAATACATACATACATATACTAGCAGCATGGCCTGGCGTTGCCCGTGCTTGATTCAAAAATCGTACGACTCATACAGCAATCGCTATCACTTGACTTAAAATATTTTTGCCCTTCCTTGCCTTTAAAGGAGTGCCCTTTGCCGTGCTGATGTTGCTACATGCCTTACTTCTTGCCTAACTCACACTGCGAATTTTTTCTAAGCTCTATACTAAACATTAAATCTGTTACGAAAAAAGAACTAAACAAAATGAACACAAAACGATCAGCTTTAAAAAAAACAAGGACTCGTAACTGGAAGAACCGAATGAAAAAAGAATGTTAACAACATATTATTTTCACACCCAACCTAGTTCTGCGGAATCAGAATCAACGTTGAGTTTAAGCAAGCGAATGAACCAATTGGAGTAAAGTGCTATGCAGATTTAAATTTTTCCCACTTGTGACAAATGCAGCTATCGATTTTTTTTGCTTGCTAGCATGCTAGTTAACATTCTCGTCAGTCAGCTGTTGGCTCTCACGCTGGCCAGTAGAATCTTCCTGCCTATTCGTGGCATCCAGCTATTGTCTCTCACTCTGGCCAATACAAAATGCCCACATACTACATGAAAAATGCCGTAGAAGTATGAAAAAATCAATTATTTCCACTATGGATAGGAGTTGGGAAATGCAAAATCGGTCTTTCCATTAACTTAGAGTATATGCATGTAAATTTTGGTGCAAATCCGTCGAAAATTGCGGCCGTGCATTCGTTACTCACACACACACACACACACACATACACATCATGCATATATATATATATATATATATATATATATATATATATATATATATATATATATATATTTGAAATATTTTACATGTTCCATTTCTTAACTGTGAAGAAAGATAATGAAGTGGCTTCCCTTCGTATTCTCCACAATTTCGAATTTTCCTTCTCTTAGACTGATTTACACCCAAGTCTAGTTAACCCAGTGTACCCTACTATGACCGTCTTGATAGATGATATTATTGTGAGTTCGTTTTTTTTTCTTCCTTTTTTTATTATTTATATTTCCATTATTTTTAACCATTTTGGCATAGGGATTAGTCTATATTCCACAAGTAACAGAGAATACATCTCTCGGATTATCGCTCCCTTAGGACCCATTTAAACACATAAGGAACCTCCCAACCTCTGTTCGCTACATACTCGTGGAAAATACGACAATCCTAGACCCATCCACATGGAAAAGTAGTTAAAAATAAATTATTAAACTATAATAAAAAAAAAATATCAGCTATTAACGCGACTACAATTTTCTGACCGTGTTCGGAAATTAAAATTGAATAATTATACCCATCCCTAAAGATTAACACACACACATGCGCGCGCGCACACACACACACAAATATATATATATATATATATATATATATATATATATATATATATATATATATATGGAACGTGTGTATATGTGATATTTGCATGAGTGTGTATACAGTATATGACAGAGCAAGATCTTTAATATTACCTTCAAATATTACCCCATACTAACTTAACTAAAATTTAAGTAAAAGAGATTACCCATCTAGAAACTGTCACGAGTTAAATTCATGAACAAAATTCAAACGGATAGAGATGTCAACTTAATAATCAATTAAAAAAAATTTTTATAAATTTTTAAAAAAGATTATTAGAAGTAAACTTATATTTTAAAATAAAATTTTGTACTTTCTATGAATATTTTTCTAATCGACTATTTCATAAAAAATCCCCAAAATCCAAAAAAAAAAAAATTAAATCACTGACAAACATCAAATTAAATTATTTGTAGTCAGTCTAGAGACATTCAAATTTATATCAAACATTATAATCTTTATGAACCTCCAAACTAACACTTTCAAAGTAAGGCAAAATAACAGCGTCTGTTTCTAGGCTTTTTTTTACAAAGAAAATTAGTAACATCTTCTCTTCTCTTCTCTCTTAACTTCCTTCTCTGTTTTTCTCACTATGAGTTTTTTCTTCTCTACCCCTTCGATTTCAATATATTACTACCTTTAAGTTAACTGTTTAAATGTGTCAATATCTGCTAACCCAATCATGTCTTCTCACTCCCCACCCCTCACTTCCTCACTTCGTTAATTTACATATGTTTAATACGGCCCGTCAAAAATGTGTAAACTTTCTTTTCATTTTTTGTTTGGAAGTAAAGTCTGATGATCCGCAGTCCTTTTAAAAGGGCTGTGGTGAAATAATTTATTACATGGAACCTTAAAGTGGTCTGTTTTTATTTAAATTATTTGCTCTGGGTTTACATTGAGCTCTCTGGATGTTATCCTCCTTAGGTTTACCCATACAGATTACCTAGTTTTTCATAAAATATATATATATATATATATATATATATATATATATATATATATATAGGTGGCCTCTCGTAGTCAAGTTTTCCGTCTACTAGAGGCATTTGTGTTTATTCAACACCCACAGAGCCCAACTGTGGTTTATACTGCCATTATGTTTTTATTTATTTTTATTTTTTATTTTTATTTCTTATCTCATATCTTTATTTATTTATTTATTATTTTTTAATCGGTGTTTTTATTAACGTAGTAAAAATTTGTTTATATCGCTTATTTAATAGTTTTGTGTTGGTTTGGGAAGATAATTAAAACAAGTAAAACAATTTAACCCAAATAAATAAATAAACAAATAAACGATTTCCGGTAAAATAACCGCCAAAATAGACCACCCATAATGCACCACTGACCCGACTTGACGGTCGAACTCTCTGCTTTTGAGCAGAAAGGAACCCGGACGATGTTCCGCCGAAGGGCAGAATCTCGTTCGGAGAAAAATGACCAACCCGATCTCGTTTATACGATTTATACGGGCATTTTTGGCTGAGCCTACGGGCTCGGGAAACCCAAGATAAACTCGGCCTTGTGTCACATGCAACCCTCGTGGGGGTGGCGGCTAGATACCACTGACCCGTATATATATAAATAGCCGAGAAAAATAACAGCACTCGTGGCCTGACGATTGCATCTAGCATGAAACAGACTGTCGCCTCTAAGCGTTGACTTCTATGTTCACTTTTATATTTATACACGCTCTATTTCTGATATTGAGCACTTTATCCCATAAATGTAGCACATCTTAAGACTATATTCCTTCATATATATATATATATATATATATATATATCAGATTTGTACAGTTTTTGCATAGTTTTGTTTAGAAAATACATCACTTGTAAAAATTCAAGAAATATTGTTTAAAATCTTAGTCGCAGTAACTTTTCAGTCGTCTGCAATGAAATGTGTATAAAAGAGGTATTTCCCAAATACACAATTATATACATATGTTTTCGTGTGTGTGTGTGTGTGTGTGTGTGTGTGTTTGCGGATTTGTTTTATTCCTTCCTCTTCCGCGATGTTACCAGCATATTTTCGTTCGTTCTTTTGCTTTCAGACATCTCAGTCGTTATATAAATCTACCTCGGGGAGCATTATTATACACCCCCGTACAATAAAAGACGTTCTTGTAAGGGCCCCGAAACGACGTACGGGTTTCAACCGATGAGTATTAATATCTGAATTAGTCACCTTCGGAAAGAAACAAATATATTTACATGTGGATGCGCGAATTTAAACTTATCTCGGTATGTGCATACACAGATAAATACAAAAATAGATAGATAGATAGATAGATTGATGTGTGCCTGTGTGTAAATTTGTGTAATCACGTCTGTATTTCTATATGCAACTGTGTGTAGGAACGCATTTATAGTGTGTGTATATGATGTGGGCCCCTAACCCCTGTAATACATGCTCATGATACAGCTCAACTGTTTCTTGTCAGTAATCAATATGTTTGTTTGTTTTGTATTAATTCGCTTTTATCTATTTATATTCTTGTTTTGTTCTTTCCACAAACATTTTTCTTGGGATTTGCTTCCTTTTCTTCTTCCCGCGTGTCTTTGCTTCCCCCTCTTTCTAGTGCCCCCCCTTGTCCTTTTTCCTCCTATTGCAAATTCTCCCCTTCGCTGCCTTTCCTCTACCTCCAGCCCATTACTAAATCATTCCCCAATAAAACATGACCGGATATAAGGTTTCAAGTCAAGAATTCTGGACATGGAATGATTGAAATGAACAGCTTGTTAGCGTACACAAAAATGATCTATCTTTGCTCTCCTTTATTCCCCGCTCTTCTATCACTCTTTACCTCTTACTCTCCCTTTCGATCTTTTATTATCCGGTGCTTGTTTTTTAAATCGGTTCCGAATACATACCTTTTATT